TTTACAACTTGAGCGGAGATCGTACGCATGGCCTATACTGAGACGCGATCGAACGATGACGATTGCCCCTTTTCTTGTCGCTTATGTTGGGAGGATTTATTTAAAAACATTTCGAGAGTTGCCAACGAATTAACGTGCAATGGTGAGGAGGTGAGCGACCTCCTAGGTGGCCGAGATCAATGCTCGATAGACCTCGACGCAAAGTCTTCTTCATCTACAGTGCGTTTCAAAAGTATGTGCACACCCTCAAAATTCACGTTTGAAAGGGAACCATGAGGTTTCGTGCTATGAAATCCTTCTCAATCGATTTCTCGTAGTCGATAACCTATCAATGGAAGCAAAGCAGATAATATCGCCTCACTTTCGGAAAAATTTTTTGGATGAAATTTTTTTCTTTGTTTCAAAAGTATGTGCACACTTGAAGAAGATCAGATTTTGGCGCCGAATTTTCCACCGATTTCAATCCGACTTTGCTGTTTTCATTTCGTCATCATGTCAATTCGCGCCATACTTCTTCCTGAAGATGAGCAAGCTCAGATCAAGGTTCTGCATGATAATGAACGTTCCAATCTAGAAATCGCACGATAACTTGGTCTCGATCGATATTCACTCTACTGGAGAGTCTGCGGAACTCTAGGTCGAGTGATGCGCACAATACCGGGCGGAGCAAAGCTGGTAATATAATGTAGTAAGAAGGGCTAAGTAAGATGGAAGCGAGTTGAATGAGAGAGAAGAATGCTCCGGTCACAGCTTAAGAAATAGCAGCCATTATTGGCCAAATTTCCTGCTTGCTGCTTCTTCTGGATCACGAGGCTCACCTGGCCACCTTGCGAACCAAAACTTCGCTTTACCAAAATGCTAAGAGAAGAATGAAGAGTATAAAATAGATGTGATTTATATATTTGGTAATTCTCCAGTAGTGCAAATTATATGTAAATAATACAACACACTTTTCTCATTAGCAGAGCATACAACAAGCACCCGTTTACGGAGAATTCGTTTCGCAAGGCATCAGAAAGAAAAGGCAACATGAACGGCGCGCATCACAAAGTGTAGTGGCAAGTGAAATGAGACATTGGCAAGAGATAATATGTCGAATAAAGAACACAGCAAAAATAGCACATAAATGAATAACAAAATAGAAAACCTGTGACATTTCGTACATATCACATAATCGATCGGATATCATAAGTGAGTAGTGAACTGAAGTACTGGTTGAGCCTGGTCGCTGTGGATTTATAGCTCGGCTTTGATTTCGGGCGATTCAATGGTCGCAGCGACAACAGCGTCAGCGTCGGCGTCATCGTTACTGGCTTGCCATCCACGAGATTTCGCCTTCACGTAATCAGGAAAGCACTGGTGCAGCATTGTGTTCCATTCGCTTCGCATCACATCGGTCCTAAATGTTCTACAATGAGATAAAGCAAATTTTTCCTAGCAATTTTTCTTCCATATGAGCAGGGTGGGCACAAATTCCGATACCCAGAGAAAACTTTGAGACTGACTAATGGCTGAGTTTGAACCTGGAGTCTGACTGGATCAACAATTCATTGTCCGACGAGGAGAAATATTCAAGGTTCACTTTTGAATCCAGCTAAATCAGATTTGATGCACGGCGCTGTATGCCTTAGGGAGACATCCGTCGCGGGCATGCAAGCAGGTGTTTTTGAAGGCAAACCTCGGATTGAACTGGTATTAAGAGCGCTTCGTAGTGATAGCTTTAGAGTGTCCTTAAGTGGGTAACTGCGAATACGACCTGGAAAGCGAGAGGAAGAGCAGGAGAACTCTTCGAGAGCCTGAAATATTAGCCTTAACCTTCAATAAGTCGGATTGTGGCACGACGGCGGACGAGGCCGCGATGCAAAAAAAAAACAAAATACGCGAAGAGCAGTATTTGATGAGAGCACCTGATCTCCACTGTCGCGGTGGGTGGGAAGCGTTGGGACTGGGGTCTATGGTTGCAGGCACGTAAGGATTTGCGTCTAACCGCGCGCAATTTTGCGACGAAGCTGGAGCGGTTTAGGTAGTAGGGACCTTTTTCCCCTCGCGGTATCCTTTCCACGGGTCGGGCTGTCACGGGGTTCGCCTCAGTCTCCCCTGGAGTTGTAGAGTGTTGCGCAGAGATTTACTAACCACTTGGTGTCTCCGAGGCAGGGCCAACCGTCTCTCTAATTTATTAGGACGAGAGAGATCGGAGGAGGAAGAACGAGTTCGCTGGGGGCTGAAAGTTTGTCAAATTTGGAGGCGAACATATTCAGGAAAACTAAAGATGGTTATACTGAAACTACTGTGTGCTGTTTGAATGAGTGTCCCTCCTCCTTGTCTTGTCTCGGGTTTTTTGGACAATTTTGGCAAAGACTGGTAGGATTTTCAGGAAGTATGTATGCTATACGAAGTTATTACGAACACACATTTGCCGTTTCTCATAATCTCCTAACCCCGTCCACGTTCACGACCGTTTGAAGGGGAAAAGCGGGCGTAGTTAAGCTGTGTCGACTAGCCTTGAAAAATCCAAATACTGTAGAAATAGCGGTGATGATAAGTGGTGGTCAGGACTTTTGAGATAGGTTCAACAGGAGGGTTGACCCCGTTACGCCGCTTTTGCATGCTTCGGATCCCAGCGCACCGGAGGCATCAGTTGGTGAATTCCAGTGCTTGTTTGGGTAATATTCTTGGCAATCTTGCAAACCCCAAAGGTTCAATTCTTGTGAAAGTGCTCGTTGGCGTCCCGAAAAGTCTGATCAGTGGATGGCTTCGCCCGCTAAGGCCGTTTAGAAACTTTACCGTCCATGCAAAGCTGGAAAACATTCCGAGCTTTCGAAATGTTGAATAACCCGCTAAATTCCATTCCCCTCCTGAGGGAGGCCACAATGCTCAACTATTTTTGAGCTCGAAAAAGAGCATGCAAGAGGGTCCAGTGATAGGCGGATTAAAAAGAAACTCTATCCGCCTACGATCACCGTCATCTTTCAAACTTAAAATTATGTCCTTTCAATATTTATTGGTATAAGTATTCAGTTTCCTTGAAAAAATCGGTATTATCTGAATCAGTCCGAAGTACATCAAACATGGCTTGCATGGCTTGGAGGGAGTTATAGCTACAGAATAAACTCTTGTTTTTCGACGCAAATGATTTGAAAAATGCCCAAGAAATTTCCAGAGATCATCAGCGCCTAATTCTGCACCTTTCACCGTTCACCTATGCACTTCAAATACTAAAGATAAAAGGATAAAGGATAAAGCATTTGCCGTTGATCAATCCCTTTTTGGGATGCGGCACGCATTCTACTTCCATTTGTACATTCGTAGTGGCGTTTGAATGCGATGTGGCCTATACAATGACTTGCGGGGGCCAGCCGATGTACAAGTCAGTGTTTTTATCCTCCCAGACAAGTCTGGTACCAATTAACCGACCCCGGAGGGATGGAAGGCTTGGTTGGCCCGGGCGACTCACGACCCAGGATTTGATCCCCGGACCGCTCGCGTGGTGAGCGCGCCACTTGCCACTACACCACTTCCGCCCTTCTAGGATATATACGTTAAAGTTTTATTAGGACATGTTCAGGAACCCCACTACCGGTTCTAGCCAAACCTAGTCGGTGTGCAATTGTCCCAGATAAGCCCAGGCTGCAATTATCTGTACCAACAGCGTGAATGTGATATGGCGAAAAAGCTCAATTAGGGACTATATTGATGATAAAACGCTCTGATAGCCATTGCACTATAGTGCGCCATCGCCAGGAGCTGCAGGCAGATAAAAATTCTCATTGCTCTAAACACTCTAGGATACGCCATGCCCAGTTTTTCCCTTGGAATCGTAGAATCTCGCTGAAGCATATTTAGTCTTTTCAGACCCAGCACGGGTTGCTTGACCCAATGACTTGACCAAAGGAAATGTGCACCCAAATAAGGATCCTGGATACAAAAAATTGATTCCCTTTTTTGACCTGAATGGGTTAACATCGCATGAACCGAGCAATAAATTCGGTCGGTGTTCCCAAAGAACTGAAAGGAGGATATCAAAGAAAGTCACTAACGTTATATCGTGAGCATCATCGCTGCGATGATTAGTCTGACGAGCATGCGAAATGACGTTGCTTTTGATGCCGATAAAATCGCAATCCCAACATTGATAAGGTTTCGAATCCGAATGGATCATTATGACGTGTCGAAGTAGATTCCATCGAGATCCGGTCGAATTCAACGTCGTCGGCTTTCCACACAACTGCAATGGTCTGAGTTTACAACCGCTTACAGTATTGTTCTCGAAAAAATATTAAAACGAATTTTCGACAAAAAATCTTAAATGGATCTATAAAAATCGATAACCTCTAATTATGCGGAAGGAATTCAAAAAGTCGATATAACATCATCTGCAATAAAATATCATACTGCCTACAACAAAGCACGCAGCATTGATTAATCCCTTTGGGATTGCGCCACGGGTTCAATTTCTATTAAGCCTTTTAGAGTGGCTAAATAGTAGCAGCGGTTAAATATCTTCGCCGGAACCATTATTTGTGCATACTTTTTCTCATGTTACCAGCTTCCATCGAAAAACGTTCACATGTTGTGCCTTGAAAGCTTTCAAATTCTTGAGCTCGTTGAACACATTTGAGCAAAAATCGATCAATTTTCAATATTCTTTTTGAGAGGAAAGCGTTTCGGCAAACTTTTTTGGCCCGCTATTGTGCCATAGAAACGTCCAAACACGTTTAAGCATTAATTTATAACTTCTTCGTGGGAAAAATGTCCAATCTGACACCAATTTACCAAACGGAAAGTACGTGCAGCGAGGTTAGCTGTGGAAGCATTTGCATGCTTGATCCGCGAACTGAGAGAGCAAGAATTCGAAAATAGGCAGTTTTATGGGAGGCGTTTCAAGGCAACCCCAGGCATGGGACGTTGAATGGCTTTCCATTTAGTCTGTGGTATAACCCTAGAGGACATACTATGTGGTGTCCCGTGCCGCGAAACGGCACGCGAGAGGCTTGGCCTTGTAAGTGGCTGCTGAAGTAGCAGTATTTTCTTCTTGTCTGGGCTCGCTGCATCTGCAGCATCTTTGGTCAACTATCCTAATCTCGCGGCTTGAGCTCTCATTTCTCAGACACACTGCTCTGGGGGCAATCTTTGAGGATGCAATGAAGTGAATTTAGAGCGCACTCTAGTGTGGAATGTACGGGTTGTCATAGCTGGCTGAATTTACCTGAGAAACGCCTTGCGGAATGGAAGCAATATAGATAGCAAGGGCAGCAAATTAGTTCCTCGTTCATGTTTAGCAGCATACCCCATTTTTGAGTTCGAGTGGATCAATTCTTCGGTGGTTACCAAGGGTGGCTGAGATCTCCAGGGAAGCCTACGCTTTTCACAAACGGTTTCTTGCATATTCAGGGATGCATGTAGGGACCACAAAACCATGTTTCATTTTCGCTGAACGGCTTTAGCAGTACTAAGCAAAAAAAGCATTAAGGTACTGTTAATGGTTCGATCCTCCGTGGCGACTAAATTTTGCATTTGGGTTGGCGCCTTCGAATTGGTGCCAAATCGTGCCAAATGTCACAATCAGGTGTCACCTCTCTCGGCAGGCACTTAGAGCTCAAATGACGCGCGACTTAATTGCAAAATTTGTCGCCGCGGGGGCCGAATTATTGAGGGTATCATTTATAGCACTTTTTTCTTGATAACAGTGAACCATTCAAGAACGGTTTTTTTGTTGGTCGCTAACCTGCGTCCCTCAATTGCCAACCATTTCCAAAATGCGCGGCTTGCCCTGAAAGACCTCCCTTGTCAGTGTTCCACTGTTACAGCACGCCTAGCGACAAAAATGAGGAAGACCTCAACGTTAGCGCTTTTCACCGATTTCTTCCCTTAGTGCCGGTTCCCCATGCAATCGTTTTCATTTTCACTGCAAGAATCAACAGCTAATTAATGGTGGGGTTTTTTTTTTTTTTTTTTTTTTTTTTTTTTTTTTTTTTTTTTTTTTTTTTTTTTTTTTTTTTTTTTTTTTTTTTTTTTTTTTTTTTTTTTTTTTTTTTTTTTTTTCTTTTCTTGAAAGAACGTTTTCTCATTGAATTGCATTAGCAAGTCGTATACGCACTTGAACGGCAAACTTATAAGTAATGTACAGACATTTAGTAGGTGGCTTTGGCAGTGCCACGCCGTAACTTTTGGCTTCGTGCAAATCGATTTTCCAACTCGTCGGTCATCCACAGGTGTTATCTTGACGCACGCATGCATCTCTCATACTTTGGCGTTTGCATTCCCTCTTCTTGATGAGTGAACTCTGGCAATACTATTTGATTTCTATATGAATATTCGATGTGATACTCTTACATCAACATGTCAATATTCAACTTGAACACTCTCATATGGGCATGCGCCTTGATGCCTATGCCTCAACTGGTTCGAAGCTGGATAGTACAAGTGAATGGGTGTGAGAAGGGAAGCATAGCATAAAGGGCTTGTATCCGGCGGAGGGATCCATTGTAACCTAAAAAACGCCTAACGCTGGCAAAGGGGTGAATGCTGCAAATCGCCTCTTCTGCGCGTACGCTTGCCATTTTGGAAACAGGTACATTTTTGAGAAGGCGTCAGGTCGTATTTTGTTTATCTTATTTTCATTACCATATATTGTTTGTCATATTTCTTATTATTATCTATTTCTTATCTTATTTTTTTATTATATTTCGCGCATTATAAATGAAAGGATGAAAGGTTGCTGGCATGATACCGCCTATCGAGAGTAGCCTGTGCAAGCAAATGGCTCGTCCATAACGGAGTATGACGAAGGGGTCCTATTTTCGGGTCGGTCGTTTTCTCGTCAGATTTTTCATGTACGGCAGATGCACCTCCACCTCTGTTTTAACCTCGGCAGAACGAAGAATTTCCGGTACATAGCATCAAGAGATGATTAACAGAATTCTGCGAGTACTGAGTTTTGAGCGCCGAAAAGTGCACTTTGTCAACTCCTCTGTGTTACTCTGAACAACGAGAAAACAGCGTAGTAGGGCCTTGAAAGGTTCAGGTGGCTCAGTAAAGCTGCACCAGGGGTGAGATATTTTTTAGCGATGCCAACTGAGCATTGGAAAGATTCAAGATCTCCCTCACTCCAAACTTGGGAAAGTTACCTACGGAGACTCTCACAAGGAAGGTCTTTCAGGGTGTTTATTTAATAGGACGCATTTTAGCATTTTGGGTGAACAACAAATCTGAAGTCCATTTTTCGCTGAGCGACCCCGCGAAAAGCAAAAATTGGTGAACAAATGGTCCAACGCCCAATTCCCCTTGATGACTACTTCAGAATTTAGATTGAACTCCCAGATTTGCTCAAAATAGCGCCAGCGCTAAAAGTGGGTGTCATGTTCGCTACCGGGACCATCAGTAACACCTTATAATTAGGTTTCACCTGAAATCTGGTAAAAACTGCCCGGAACTATTCGGTAAAAACTATTTGTCCAAGCATGTTTTCTTCTCTGATCTTTTTTATTGATCTTCATGGGGTCGCTCAGCGAAGGTTAGCCTCAATTTTGCAGACAACGAGAAAAGGCCCAGCATGCGTAGACCGTTTTGAAAAAAGCGCCGCACAGATCTCCCTTGTTAGATCTAAAAACCTTCGAATCGCAAACCATGCATGGATCTGTACAGCTGTGTTAGAACCTTCCGACCGTATAGCTGGAAAGTCTCCAGGCCCGAATTCGATTTCCAGCAAATTGGCTGTTAGGGTAGGGGTAGGCGTAGGGAGTATTTAGCACTCAAAAAATTCGTTTCAGGTTCCGTGAGGACCTATGCTCGCCCACTGACATTCACTGTAAACGTAAACACACCCACACATTCGACGTAAACATGAATGTTGCTGAATGTTGCTACGCCGCGGGATCATTTCAGAACATGCAGAACACTTTCACCTTCCCATCCTAATAGAAGCCACCTCCATCGTTTTACTAGAGAGCTCTGTATCCCTGTTTGTTTATGTTGGTTTGGCTTTCCCATTAAATGTGTTTATTACTTGACCTGGCACAGATGAAATTTCATAGAGCGCATCTATGCGTGCATCGAATAAATAAGTAAATATAGAAACAAATACCCCGAAAGCGCTTCCCAGCACAGGATTCAACAGATGAATCATAGATGCACGGACTTGCTCATCTGACGGGCCGAGTCCGCCGTCACTGGAATCGGCCCCGTGGTCAGTGTCGTGAGCGCCATTTGTGTCGGTTCCAGATAGGTTCACTGTTGAGGAGTCAAGAATGCCAACGTCGTCGAGCTCCGGTGATCTGGAAACGGAATGATTACGAAGATTATTAAAAAGAGCAAATGCTAAGCCGATCTCCTCGCGCAGGATGGAATGAAGAGAAGCAAATAAGAGCTGTAGAAATGGGGGGGGGGGGGGAACAGAGGAAATGTCTGGAAAACACCAAACGACATGGCATAGATGTGCCGGTGTTCTATGTCAAAGGCAAACCAGGATTAAATTGACTTGGTAATCCCATTTACATGGTGAGGATGCTAAGTCGACTGGTGGTAAAGAAAAGGGGAAAAAACGTCAAAAACTTGGGATCGCAAGCCTTCTTGCTGCACATGCGAAGAAGTCTAACAAGGGAGGTCTTTCAGGGCAAGGTGCGCTTTTTGGAAACGGTTTAGTACATGTTGTAGGGACGCATGTATGGACCACAAAACCATGTTTCGTTTTCGCTGAACGGTTTTAGTAGTACCAAAAAAGTGGTGAATAATACTCTTGATGGTTCAATCCCCGCGGCGACTAAATTTTGCAATCAAGGTTGGCGGCCACTTGTTGGCTTCAAAATGGTCCTGACGATGAATTTGACATCTGATTTTGATATTTAGCGCGATTTGGCACCAAACCGTAGGCGCCAACCCAAATGCAAAATTTAGTCGCCACGGGGGATCGAACCCTTAACAGTACCTTATGCTTCTTTTTTGGTACTGCTATAACCGTTCAGCGAAAATGAAACATGGTTTTGCGTTCCCTACATGCGTCCCTACAATATGCACAAAACCGTTTTGAAAAAGCGCACCTTGCCCTGAAAGACCTCCCTTGTAAGGGGCAGGCAGCGAGATATGAGAAAATGTGAGTCACGAAGAGGATAAAGAAGCCCAAGTAGAGAGAACATAGCAGATTAACATCGCGATGCAGATGAGATATCGGAAGGGGTGGAGTCTGATACTCCTTGGTGGATTTGATCAAAACGCTTTTCTCCTAGCGCCTTTATAGCTGAAACGTTGGCCCGATTGCAGTAATATTAGTATTATTTACTGCGACAAATTGCACCCCACAAACATGTCAAAAATGAACGTCATACGTGTGATCAAGGTATTGAATATCTTCTATGGATGAAATTTCAGCGATTGTTTGACAATTTCAGGGTTGCAATAGTGCGACTGTGCCCC